TAAAATGTAAATAAAATATTTTAAAAAAAGAAGTAATGGACCTATATAAATTCTGTCTTTAGCTTAATTTGACATTTTTATAAAATACAGTTCTTTGTAAAGGGGATTAATAATTCAAAATGTCTTAGAATATTTAATAATATGCTAGAATATGCACCCATTTAAATGTTCATTGTTGTTAGAGACTAACAATATATTTTGTCTCTTACATTCTATTTGTCCTATTGTTTTATTCTGTAAGGGTGCAGGAAAGTTTCTATTTGACAATGTAAATTGACTATCATTGTGCCCCATCAATCTCATTATCAACTTTCTGTCTTTTCTAAATCTTTTCCTTTTATACAGACAAATGTGAGTTCAAGGGCTCCCTGTCTGGTAGTAATGCTGGAATTACAAGCATTGAATTTGATAGTGCTGTAAGTATCTAGTTTCTGTGGTTTTGGAGATTTCTGAAAAGTTAGACATCTAATTATTAAGAAGTAACTTGTTTCTCTGCCATTTTTCACATCTTAAGTCAAATCCATGTTAGAGAAAGGTAGAAGTAGATTATAGAGCTAACTGGTCTATCAACTCTGATATTATAATTCTGTTACTTAGTACCTCCTGCCTTTGGTACTGGGGATTGAGTCTGGAGTGCTGTTCCACCAAGTTACATATCCCCAGCCACTTTTTCATTTTTTGTTTTGAGATAGCGTCTTACGAAGTTGCCCAAGCTGGTCTTGAACTTAGGGATACAGGCGTGTGCCATTGTACTTATCCTACTCAGTATTTTTAATTCTATTTTATTGTTATATTTTGTGTGTTTAGATCCTGTGCTATAGGGGCACCATATGGTCCTACCCTTCAGTAAATTGCCATTTAAATGAGAGTGGTTTAAAAGCATTAAACTGCAAGTCATTGTACTAAAGTAATGTGTAAAATAGGAATGAACTGCTCACTCATCAGCATTTCAGAATGGGGATTAGGAAACAAAATAAGCCAACTGGGCACAACTCCAGGTAATCAAAGGTTAGATGCAAAAAGCCCAGTGCTGAAATTGCAGGGAGAGGAAGCAAAGAGAAGATTAGAGGTAGGACTACTAGTGTGCAGTAGCCAGGTGAGGTGACAGTGTCTGCTCAAGAGTCCTTCTATCTCTGTCATCTCAGGTGTCCTTTTCATATCCCTACTTGGATAAGGGTCCTCTGGGACCTGGAATGTCTTGTGCAAAAACCCATTCTGGAGAGAGAGAGAGAGAGATGTCCACATCTGCTGCTTTTATCAAGCTAAGAACTCATTCCCAGGGGATGAGCACTGGTGGTTAGTTGTCTTTGTGCCCCTAACACAAACTGTTAGCTTTTTAACCCAGTAAGTCCCTAGTTATTATGAATATGTCAAGAGAATTGACATGGATGCATTTTTAGGTGAGCTCATATATATTATTATATTAATGTGTATTAGTGGACATTGTCATTATACTATTATTCCTCTTATGTAATTGTATTATCCCATTATGTAAGTTTTTATAGGTGCTTCACATCTTGGACAGTGGAACAAAAATGGGTTAATAACCACTCCTTGAGTTAATTGGGTAATGATAAGGAAGTTTGACTGGAAAGTTAGATGTAGGTCAGAGTATATCTTGACTCAGTGAAACCATGTGGAGGGTTTTGCATATGTTTGGCAAATGCCCTACCACTGAGATCTATCCCCAGCCTTGAGAGGTTTTCAGAAACAGATATAGCATTAAATTCTTCAATAATTGACATTGAAGACTGAATTGGGAGGGGCAGATCTGCAGTGCCTAGCATCCAGTACTTCTGCAGACTTGATTTAGGTTGGGGCTGAGGTGCAGGCAAGAGAGGAAAGGGTCTAGCTGGATGCATGGAAAGTAGGTGGTCTTGGAGGATGGGTAGTTGGGAGTTGAGCCCAGGGACGAGTAGGTGCTTCTGGGCTTTCTGCTTGGATTGTATGTGGAGAATTTGTATTTGCTGCGTAGGGTAGGTGATGAGGGGAAAGGTGAGCGTGGGAGACTGAGTTTCATTGAGCTTTAGAAATCTCAACATTCCAGTGAAATTGAGTGATTTCAAGAGGAAAGCTTAACTTGAAGGGGATCTGTAGGTTGATAACACATTGGTGGTGATGGTGTTCAGATCTGGTGTGTAGTTTTAGGCATCTAACCCTTTTTGGACTTGATTATTAGGAAACTTGTTTCTTGTGAACTGAATTCCTCTACTTTAGCTAAAAGTTGTTTTTTCTTTCATTTATTCCTCTAGGGGGCTTACCTCTTAGCAGCTTCAAATGATTTTGCAAGCCGAATCTGGACTGTGGATGATTATCGATTACGGGTAAGGCTGGGTTAAGACAAGTATAATGTACAAGCCATGTGGTTGTCAAGGCACATAATACAGGAAAATGGCAAATGAATAACTAGGGGGCATGTGTGTGCTTCCCTGAAAATCATACTTGATTGACACTTTTCTCCTTGGGAAAATTTGTTTCTACTTACTCCCATATTTTGTCTAAGATTCAATTTCAGCATGTTTGCAATAGACCCTCCCATGTCCATGGAAGACTTGAGGATACTCCTCCTGTCCATAAGGACTAGGTACTTTTTATATAGATATCAATTTTAGCTTAGCTTTATAGATTTTAGCATCAGCATATGAATTGTGATTCACCCTCATAGAGTAAGCTGGAAAGTAGAAAAAGTACAAATGGGTGTACTTATGATAGATGTGAATGACTCCTGATGCTGGAAAATAGGAAACAGGTGTAGAAGTAGGCTCAGATGTTGAGGCAGTTTGCATTTGAGCCTAACTTTGCATCCAAGACAAAGATCTGCACTTAATGGTTATAAGTTTGACACAGCTATTTTTGTGTCAACTACATAAAAAAATGGCACAATGTTAAGGAACTTCTTGAATCCACTGGGAGGTGGGGAGCTCTATTAGAATGGTCTATTAGGTAGATTCCTGGTGTTCTGATTGGAGGGTGCCTGGATGAAGCTAGGTGAATCTTTAGAAACAGAGTTAACACTTTAGACTTTCTGTCTTCCTTAAAGCTGTGTGGAAGGTGAGCAGTATTAGGTATAGCTAGTATCTGAAAAGTTGAAATTCTTGATTGTCACTTGACAAAAGATTCTCAGAAATGCAGAGCAGAGCAGGCTGGGGTTGTGGCTCAATGGTAGAACACTTGCCTAGCACGTGTGAGGCACTGGGTTCAATTCTCAGCACTGCAT